GGACCCCCATTTCCCCCCCCTGCTCCCCGCCAACCCCCATCGCCCAGGGTGCTGCAAACCCCTCCGGGGCGGCGGTTAAAGGATCGCTCTGGGCCGGGCCTGCCCGCTCCGTAACGGCTCCAACGGCCCCAGACACTTCAGGGGCTCCGGGGCCGCCTCAGGAACCAACCGCGCCTTTTCCCGCTGCGCGCGTCCCTGCTTTTGCAACTACGCGGGCGGCAGCCTCCCGCCTGCTCCCGGGGACAGCGGGCGATTCCCGATCCCCGGTTCCAGAGGAGTTTATTCCCGGTTCCAGAGGAATTCATTTACTCACGAATTCCGGGGCCTGCTGCCCCCGGGCCCGCCGTCAGGGGGCAGCAGCGCGGGAGGCGCGCGCAGGGAAGTGACGTCACGCGGCGTCCGGGAAGGCGCGCCAGGTTGTGCTCCGGTTCTGCTCCGGTTCTGCTCCGGTTCCCCGGGACCGGCGGCGCCGAGTGAGGGGCGAGACCGGGGCTGAGGGGTAAGGGGGCCTGTGAGGGTGTGTGAGCGGGTGGGCGGGACGGACCGGGCCGGGAGAGGATCAGGGGCACCCGGTGTGGGGTAGTGAGGGGAGCTGGCGGGCTCTGAGGGGACCGGGCGGCTGTGAGGGGACACTGGGGCAGCGGACGATGAGGGGAAGGTGGGAAACGGTGGGGGAGCTCCCACGATCTCCCTCCCTTCCTCACCTCCCCTGCCTTCCCCTCACCTGTTGTGCTCTCAGGTGTGGCAGAGATGGATTCCCAGGACATCAAAGAGCTGCAGCAGGAGGTGATGGACGAGCTGGGAATCTCCATGGAGGAGCTGCAGGAAATCATCGACAAAGAAGTGGAGAATTCCGAGTGGGTGAGGCAGCGGAAACAGCAGCTGGAGGAGCTGGAGCAGTGCATGAGGCACAAGGAGGAGGAGGTGGCCCACGTTGACCAGCTCATTGACGATGCCATGAGGTGCGTGGGCCTGGAGTGAGCCCAGATTCCGAGGAGCGGGATGTGGGGGGCTGTTCCCGTTCCCTTCAGGGCAGACCCACGGTGTGGGTGGTTAATGAGGGACAGTTAATGAGGGACAACTTTTCCCCCAAGGCTTTAGACCCTTCCTGTGGGCACTTCCCTCAGCTGGCTGTGCTCAGGGGTAGTTCCCCGCTATCCCTGCGGAATTCGGGAGGCACAGCCGGTTTCCCTCCCGCAGGGCCATCGACAAGTGCGAGACACTGGCAAAGGAGCTGTATTCCATGATGGGCCTGCAGTACCGGGAGAGCAGCTCGGAGGACGAGGCTCCGGCAGCCACGGAAGTGATCGAGATCCCAGACGAGGAGGATGACGACGTCATGAGCGTGGACTCGGGCTGGAAGCGCAGTTCAGTGTCCCCAGCAGTTCCAGGGGAGGGCTTGGGATAGGGGAATGCTCTTAGCTCATGGGAACATCTGCCACGTCCTGTTGGTGTTCCAGAATTTCTGGGGTCCCACGCTGGGATTTCACCCTTTTCCCGCCTGCCTCACTGTTGTCACCACGTTAGGAAAGGTGGCTGAGGGAAAGCCTTGTTTG